CCAGAGGGAGAAGGACGAGGCGCTGGAGGAGAAACTGAGGAACTTAACTTTCCGGAAGCAGGTCTCTTACAGGTAGGCGCGGATGCCAGGTGCGAGACAGGTGCCACCCAGGGCGGGGACCCGCTGTCTCTCCAAGAGGTGTTTGCTTGAGTTGGGTACCTTCCCAGCTCGAGGCTGCCTGTTCCCCCTACTATCTCCTCTTCCTCCTCTATCTCTTCTCTTTCTTTCCGACTGTCTCTGCCTTCCTCTCTCCTTCCTTCAGTGTTGTTCTGTCTCATCCCATCTTTCTGGAGTGGAGGAGGCTACGAGCTCCTGGATACCCCCTTAACACCTAAGGGTGGATGGATTTGTAAGGAGAGGAGACTGGGTCCCTGAGTGAGAAAATAGCAAAAATGGGTGTGTATATGGCAAGGAAAACAGATCTAAAGGTGTCTGATTTTCTTGAGAAAAGTCGTCAAAGTTGCCCTTAAAAACATTCATTTTAGCCACTCCTCCTACCTATTCAATTTCACTGGGTGAACCTTTGGCGCTGTCTTAATACCTGTGATCCCTCTGAGAGGCAGAAAAGGACAGTTTATCCTGGAGAGAAATCCCTGTGGAGGCTGGACCTTCGTGGAAATCCCCCATTAAGGAAGAGTTGGACATGGCCTGTCTGTAAATACGCCACTGAGCGTGCAGGTTACACACACGTGCTCGCTCCTGCTCTCCCGGTGGGTGAGCCTGGAGGATGATGTGGGGTGCCTGTTCGTGATCCCGCGTGAGAGTGGGAAGAGACCATACCTTCACCTGAGGATGGATATATTTGTGAGATAAGAAAAGTGTCAGGTAAATGGCCATCAAAATGGGATAAAAGATAACCCTAGATCATATCAGGATACAAACATGAGAAATCCTGAGAATTCAGTAGGTTCCCTACATCCTACCTCTATTCTCAGGCAACAAGAAAGATGCTGAGAATACCCTTCCTGGTTGTTCATTTAAAAACTCCAGGCGATAAGCAAGCATAGGTTTACAAAGATTTTCACTCACTAGAGTTCAGAGTGTTGCTTGGAAGCAGGGGGTGGTCAGTGAAAGCATTCTTGGAATCTTGCTCCTTCTGAGATAGCAGTCCCCTGAAGAAAACCATCTAAAGTATTATGCCTGTCACACCATGTGCTGTTATGTAAGCAAAGGCAGATGACAGAGGCGTGTGGGCTTGTGAGGGTGTGCTGTATTGGTGGGGCAGGTGTGTGAATCACTGGGATCCCCACAGGCATTGCCTGGACTGGAGGCCCCAGCATGAGCCAGGCCATGAGCTCTGCATCTCAGTGTTGGCCTCTGACAATTCCTAAATGGTCTTCCTGGCGAGGTGTTGCTTCTTGCATTCCTTGGGAGAATTTTGCTCACTGTTCGATGAGGGAATTTCCCACCTGAGTTGTTCTCTTAGTTACTCATTCAGATCATATCCAAATGGATCATTCTTTTTATATTTTCAGTTTCTAAAAATAGGCAGGTGGTAGGGAGCGGGCATCTCCAGGGAGGTGTGCTGGGACACAGACAGTTCTCCTGCCTAGTTGTGATGGGCCAGCCCGTAGGGGAACAGGGACTACATTTAGCCTAATGGAGGAGCTTTGTCTCGGGGGTCTGGGGATGGGATGATGTGAAGCACATCGTGGGTCTGGGCTCCCGGGCTTCTGAGTGGAGAGACTCTTGTGTCATTGATATTCACCAGACTCCTCATTGGATGGGAATGCAAAGCCAGAGTTTGCAAGGGAAATCATTTCAGTTTGCCCCTTGGCAGGGGTCATTCTCTGAGCCTCTCTCCTGGAGATGTGTACTTTGTAGGGCTGTGGCTTTCTGGGTTATCTGCTTTCACGGGCACATGTGAGTGTGTACACACACAGACAGGACCACTGGCACTGTTTTGCTAGAAAAGAAGAATAAATACCACATCCACCTTAAAATCCATAGGGGTGAATTCTGCTTCTTGGACATCATTTCCATCTATGTAAACTCTCACAGTCCCCGTTTCAGTAAAACACCTACATCCACATCCTCTCAGGTGGTGGTTGAGGTACCTCAGACTTAAAGGCATCAAACTCTCAGTGGTTGGAAGTTTTTATCAGGCCTCGGGTGATGCTTAAACACCCTATTTTTCCCTAGAGTCTAAACAATGGATCTTTGAGCTCATAAACCCTTTTCCAGACAAATGGGGCCAGGCAATTCCAAAGACGGGAGGAGGTAGGCGATTTTGTCTGGCACATGTTTGTCCCAGTAGCCTCTGTGTTTTCACCTCTGTATTTATTTGTTTATCTTTTGGTGAATGGCCTGCCTGCCTGCCATGGTGACTGTTTGCGCTTAACTCAAAAGGATGCAGCCAGACATGACAGTTATGCTGGGGGCTCAGGAAAGGGCAGCTTGGGCAGGAGTTGGGTGTTGGCTACTCAGTGGAAACCACACTGCCTCACTTCTGGGGTGGCTGAGGACAGAGGCTGGTGGGAGTCAGGAACGCCTGAGTAGACAGAATGGTCTACACAGAAGCATTCAGCTAGAGTAGGAGGTATGGCTGCTTTTGTAAGGGGGATCGTCTGAGGTGGGGAATGGAGATTTGCAGGTAGTTAAAAAATATGGCAAGATTTGGAAAAAATTTGGAGGAACATGGGTATTTGCAGAATGAAATTTGATGGGGAAGAAGGGGGCTTCGGGAGAAAGGGTATGTGTGTGTGTGCATGTGTAGGGGGGTCTCATCTGCTCCTCCTGTTGCTAAGGAACATATAAGCTAGGGTTTAAAAATAAATGAAGAGTGGGTGGGCATATGCAGTGACTCCTGTCTTTTTAGGAACCAGAGCCCTTTAGAGAAAACCTTTAAATAACCATTTCTGGAGGCAGATTATTCATTTTGCTTGACTTTTACTTTATTAAGTAAAATAAACTCCCTTATATACCCCTAGGTTTCCCCTCATTATCTTTCCTTTGTTGGCTTTTTGGGAGCCATTTTTCCCAAGAGAAATTTTCTTTTATTTCAGAATCTGCACCCCTAGAGCAAATAGTCTCTGTAGATTATAAAGCTGAAGGCTTTAGAAGGCAGTGCAAGTGAGCTGGTACTTTTCTCCTAAAATTACTACTTTTTCCTTAGCAAATTATGGTGCAGAAACAGATACATATGTATAAATGACTATGTAATGTGTAGAAACTTTTTTTTTACAAAAACTGCTATAAGAATTTCCATTAAAGTCTGTAAAACTGAAAAAAAAATAAACCTTTCAGAAACACACAGGAGAAGGGAAAAAGGAGCTAGTTGATGTCTCGTCTTCCATTTGTGGGTACTGTGCTAAGTATTACTGTATAGTCCGTCTTATTTGATCTTTGTGACAGCCCTGTGATGTCATTGTGATTAGTCCTGTTTGGTAGAAAATGAAGTTGAGGCATAGACCTTGGGCAGGACAAAGAATTTAAACACACATCTGACCCTAATGGATTTTCTCTTCAGATCACACAGTGTGCTGCTTCCTATTTCATTTTAGGCTCCAAGTCTCCCCACCTGCACCTGTGTGTGTGTGAGCAGTGTGAGCCATTCTTTCACTTTATCCACACTGTACCATGGCTCATTATCATCTATACGACCTCTTGTATACTTCATTCTTTGGAATGTAGCCCTTTGGTTATATGACTTTAAGGAAGAAAAGTGAACATAAATCTGTGATCCTCAGCAGATAGATTGGTTTTGCTTCTGAGATCAAAACCTCCTGTGATACCTGATGTCTCAATGAATACACCCATTTTAGAGATTTATGTATCCTTAAGAATTTTCCACAGGTGTTGTTTAGGGGAACACAGGTCCAGTGAAGAGCTGCCCTGTGTGTTTCTTCTTTGGCAGCTCACAGTGACTAGTGAAGTATGATTTTTGCCTGTAAGGAGGCCTGTGTAGTAACCATTGCACAGGAGATATTAATGCCCCTGCTTTACTTTTTCCACTTATAAACCGGGATGGTAATTCCTAATCTGTTTATTTGTTCTTTTGAGGCAGAGTCTCACTATGTAATTCAGGCTGGGCTTGAACTCACTGTGTAGAACTCTCAGTGATTCCTCTGCCTCACCCTCCTGAGTGCTGAGATTATAGGCATGCACCACTGCTCATGGCTCTGAGCTTTCTTAAAGGACATTTTTGGTATTACACAGAAGTAACAGTAAGGGATATTAAACTTCCTAGATTAGCCAACTGACTAGAAAAGGATCTTTTAGTCTTTGTAAATTGATGATTAGAAAGTAGTGTAGGCATCCCTCAGTGTCCAGGCAGATGGGTCCAGGACCCCCCGCAGATATCAAAATCTGCTGAAGTTTTATACACATGGCATAATATTTGCCTATAACATTAGCAATCCTCTCTCAAGCTTTAAGTCATCCCTAGATTACTTATATTTCCTGATACAATGTAAATGCTATGAGAGCTGGGCATGGTGGTGCATGCCTGTAATCCCAGCACTGGAGAGGCTGTGGCAGGAGGATCCCCTCAAGTTTGAGGCCAGCTTGTGCTACATAGCGAATTCAAGTCCAGCCTGAACTACATAGAGAGACTCTGTCTCAAAAAAATTCTATGTCAATAGTTGATATACTATATTGTTAAGGGAGTATTAACAGGAAAAGTCTGTATATGTTCATAACAGAGGCAGTTATTTTTTTTCCTGAAGATTTTCAATCTATAGTTGCTTAATTCACACATACAGAGCTCACAGACATGAACACCTGACTATATTTCCATTTTATGTCTTGTTCCACAAAACAGATTATGTTATTATAAGAAGGAGAACTGAGAGGTTGAAGTCGAGTAAGATAACCTATGCGTTATTCTTTCTCACATTGGAATCAACCCTAACCCTAACCCTAACCCTAACCCAATAAACTCAATTAAAAAAATAATGTAGGAGGAGGGGGGCAGGATTCAGCTCAGTGGCACTGCACCTGACTAGTAAGCACAAGGTCCTGAGTTCTATCCCCACTACTGAAAATAAAAAAAGAAAAGAAAAGAAAAGAAAATTGTGTATAGGGGGTTATTTTTTTCTCCTAAATATGCAGCATCCATCTTTGTAAGTCAA